CAAGAGCCCCTACCTGCCGAGGTTGTTATGAGGATAAAATGAGATAACACAGAGTGTGCCAAAAGTCTTAGCTTAAAACTAAGCTGAGTTTTAAACTTAAAACTTTTTTTGTAAAGAGCTTTGCAAATTTTAAAGCTATCTCGATCTATTTCTAGATGTCATATTATATACATATGTACATATCTACAGCTATCTATCCTAAATATATCTACGTCTATCTAGATGTCATATTATATACATGTTTATTTATAGTTATATGGATATCTAGATGTAGATATCTCCATATCTATCTAGATGCCATTATATACATGTATATATATATAGCTACATATATCTAGAGATATATCTGTCTCTATTTCTCTACCTAGATGTCATATTATATACATATGTATAGCTTGAGCTATATATATATATATTAAGATATGTCTATTTCTATTTCTATCTAGGTATATCTACATCTATTTAGATGTTGCATTACATACATGTGTATATCTATAGCTAAGTATATACACAGCTAGAGATACATTTCTCTATTTCTATCTAGAAGTCATATTACATATTGATATTTCTATACTTCTACATCCAGATAACTAGATAGATATCTATAGATATATCTCTTTCCCTCTCTGTAGATATATCTATATCTATCTAGATGTCATACATTATGCTTATATGTATATCTACAGCTAAATATATACATATACATCTAAATAGATTTCCATCCTTTATCTGTATCTACAGCTAAATATATACGTGTCTAAATCTAAACAGATCTCTCTCCTTTATCTAGATATATCTGTCTACCTAGATGTCATATTATCGAAGCGTGTACATCTGAAGCTGTATACACCTCTATATCTAGATATATCTCAGAGATCTATCTGTATCATACCTCTATCTAGAGATCTAGACATATAGATTGGTATAGCTATTGAGATGTAGGCACATCTATAGATACACATATGTACACACTGCATAAACGTGGACGTAGCTGTATATCCAACACACATGTATATCATCTATATTGTACATGTACACGCAGTGCATATATGCATGTGTGTATTACATGTGTGTACATGCGCACACAGTGTTCCCACGCATGCATCTACACACCTTTGCACAGAACTATGTTTATATTTATACACGTGTATGTATATATAGAAAATCATCTGTAACACAGGGATAAAATGATGGACCGCTGGTGGCACAAAGAATAGGCCACTGGACTTGGAGTCAGAAGACCTGACTTCGAATTCTGCCTCATCAGCTGTGTGACCCTGGGCAAGTCCCTTACCTTCTGCTAGCCTCGGTTTCGTCATCTGTAAATGCTATCATCTGTGGGTAATGCTATCTATAGGATGGCTAGTAGCATCATCCTTAATCATCGCTGCAAAGGCACCAGCGCGAGTGTGGGCGCCCCGGTGGGTCACGTGCGAGGGAGAAGGCCCCCGGTTCGAGTCCCGCCTGCTCCTTCCCAGCAGGCTCTGGGCCTACCCCTCTTCTAGGCGGGGAAGGAAGGGCCCCCCGCTCTCCCTCTTCTCCCAGATCCCCCCAACCCCCATCCTCACCATCTTGCTTCCGAATCGGCCCCCCCCCGCGATCACACACGCCCAAACTCCGCCGTGGCCCTCAGGTCCCGGAGGCTGGGAAATGAACTCCGTCTCCTAGCAACTGCCGCCGGGAGTCTCTGTACGAGATCTCGCCTGAGCTCGCGAGATCTCGCCTGGCTCTCCCGCCGCTCTCCCTATAGCCCCTCCGATTCCCAGGGGGCGGGGCGACCCTGGCAACGGCTGGGATCGAGTCCCTAGCAACGGAGGCCTGGGACTGGGCGTGGCCTGGCGGTTCGCGAGCGGCTACTGCAGGTCCCTGGGGCTCTGGGAGGCTGCTTAGGTGTGAGTGGCGAGCACAGGCAGCGCTGCGCCTCCCTCCGAGGAGGCCGGGGCTGCTTTGTGATGGGAGTGGGAGGCGAGGATGGATTTTAGGGGAATGCCGCAGTAAAAATAAACGAAGCCTCTTAGGACTTTTTTTGTCCCCAGTCTGTGCGCGTACTGACGTGGATGTATTTCATGGGTCCTCATGACACACACATAAAGAAATATACATGTTAAGTCTGTATTGTGATAGCTCGGAATTGACCGTATCAAATTAGCCTCTATAAGAATTCCAGGTGTCCCCAAACCCTCGGTGTAATTCTAAGCTATTAAAGCTTAAAATTGCGCTAAGATTCGGGGGGGACACCTTGGCAATTCTATATAACAGCAATTTTCATACATGGGCTTGTTTTATACATAGGAACCTAGACCTAAGCTGGAAGGCCGGTTAGTCACTTCCACACTCCTCATCTTACAGAGGAGAGATGCTAAGTTACTTGCTCCGGGTCCCCCAGGTTAAGCCCCGATTCAAACTCAGGGACTCTCGCTCTAAACCAGGTACCACTGGGTACCACTTCCCATTATCATGATGATTCATGTGTGTGTGTATTGCCAGTCCTGGCAAGGGCTCAGACTGACTGCTTTGTAAGGGGTCCAAGAGGCTTAAGAGATCTGGGTCTTTATTTTGTTTCCCTTGCAAAGCAGCCAGTCTAAGCCTTGCCGGGACTGTATAGGATTTATGAGTTGATGCATATGTATGCACCAGGGCGTGTGTATGTATAAAATGAATGCATGTCTCTGTGTGAATAGCAACTCTTTTTTCTATGTCCTCTCCAATGCACTTTCTGGTTTACAAAGTCCTCTCCATACATGATCTCCTTTGAGTCTCAAAACAACCATGTAAGACACATAGTTCAACAATATGTCAAGCTAGAAGGATTATAAATCATGTTTTTAGAGCTGGGAAGGACCTTGGACTGCATTTCGTCATCATTTTCTAGATTAAAAAACCTTAGGTCAAGAAATTATCTTAATTTAAGCTCCTTGGGAATAAGGATTGTTACATTCTTCATACTTTCATGCCCAGGTCCTAGGTCAGGGCCTGGCATATAGTAGGCACTTAATTGACTATTTGTGAATTGATTGACTCACCCAAGGTCACACAGAAGTAAGTAATTAGTAGCAGAACTGGGATTCAAACCCAGTCCTTCTAACTGGAAATCCAGTACTCTTTCCCCTATCCCATGTTGCCTCTCCCATTTTACAGATGAGAAAACTGAGACCCAGAGAGTTTAAGTGACTGGTCCATCATCACATGGCTAAAAAGTGACAAAGCCAAGACTCACATCCAGGTCCTCTGATTCTCTAGATCTAATAATAATCTTTCTGCTCCAAAATTGCCTTTACACATGTGTGTCTGTGTCTGTCTAGAGGGGTAATTGCCCTTGAGGACCCTAGCATTTTGTGTACTAGTTTGCACCATTCTCTAGGTTGGTTAGCCCCAGCTACATTATAAATGGTGACAGGCCAGAGATGATTCCTCAAATTAGATCTAAAGTCTTGGCTCTCACCTGCAACCAGCTGCCTGTTATATAACTTGAACACTGAGACAAGGATCTGCTTTTTTTCTCCAGAGCAAAATGAGATGATATATAACTCTGCTTATTCTTTGAAGATTCATGCCTGCCGCTGTCACAGCATTAAATCAGAGAGACGATGGAAAGAGCCAGAAGACCGTCTGTAACATCTGAGTGGGGGGGGGGGGCCTGTGTGTATCTTTAAAAAAAAAAAGGCCAGCATATTCTCATCACCTCTAATTAGTCTTCCCTGACACCTGAAATCAGAAACTCTCTTTCCTTGCTTCTGGTGTCTGGCCCAGATTTCAAATCAGAAATTCTCTTTCCCTGGTATCAGGCCCAAAGGTACCCTCATTCTACCAGCTGTCAAAAGGATAGCCCAGCAGGGATGGCCCAGAAGGCAAATGCCACCAATCTGGAGACGTCAGCAAAGCGGTATCATGTTGACCCTTAATAAGCCCCAAACTGTTCTGGGTAAGGCAGGATAAGCTTCTCTCAGGGGGTGGTTTCTTCTCCTTCCATTACAACGCACCAACCATGTGACACTTTGCAGCTTACACATCTTAATTCTGACCTCTCACTACAGCTCCATTTCCAAAGCTCACATCAAATCCGTATAGCACCCTGGGTGACAGATGGGACATGCCTCCCCCCATTCCCAACTCTGAGCATTTTTTTAGACTGTCCCCCATACCTAGATTGCTTTCCCTCCTCTTCATCTTTATCCTGGCTTCCCTAAGACCCAGCTAAAATCCCACCTTCCAAAGCAAGGCCTTCTGGATACCCTTAAGGCTAGGGACTTCCCTCTGACCATTAGCTCCCATTTATCCTGTCCATGGCTTGTTTCTACATATTGTTTACATCTTGTCCCTCCCATTAGATTGTAAGCTTCTTGAGGGCAGAAGTATTTTCAGTAAACTCCAGTGGCTCCCCATCAACTTCCAGGATCAAATGTAAAAACCTCTGTTGGCATTGAAAGCCCTTTACAACCTGGTTTCCTGCCACCTTTCCAGACTTCTTCTACCTTAATACCTTACTCATCCCCCACGCATCCTCTGTGATCCAGAGACACTGGCCTTCTTGGTGTTCCTTAGTGTTCCTTAAAGAGGAACACCATTTCCCAACTACATGCATTTTTTCACTGACTATCCCTCATGCATGGAATTCTCTTTCTCCTCCTATCTCCTGGCTTCTCTGACTTCCTTCAAGTCCTACCTAAAATCCTTCCTTCTATAAGAAATCTTTCCCGACCCCCCCCCTTAAACTAGAGTGAATTCCTTCTGATGATTATCTCCAATTTATCCAAATCTGTGATTTTGCCAGCGGTAGGAATTCCCTCCACTCAAGTAATCCCATCTGTAACTTAGAATAAGTGACTTGCCTACGTGACATAGCTAGGAAGTGTCAGAGACAGGATTTGAACCTGGGTCTTCAGGACTCCAGGAGCAGCTACACATTGTATATGTCACAGAGAAATACAGTGTGCCAGCATCATGGATATCAACACAGACCAAATGACTCCCATGAAAAATAGGCCAGTGTGTGTACACACCATTTGTGATCTTCTTTGGTGTGCTCTTCAATCATGGCTTGGACCCAGGTCCTCTGATTCTGTTGGTCTTGCTCCTGAGTCAAGGCTACTGAGCCTTGGACAAAGCACTAGATTCTTCACCACCAAGAGAGCTGGGGCTGATAGCCCTCCTGTGTATGCTCAGAGAGATGCATTTATTTAGGGCAGGGTTACCAAATTAGAGCAGGGCCTTTGGTAAGTGAATGTGATGGGTCTACGAGGCGGTCTTCTGGTCTTCCAAACATTGGTTGATCTAGAAGCTTAGCCTTGGGAAGGAGGAAGAAGAGGAGGAGGAGGAAGAGCTCGTTGGAAAGGCTACACCCGTCAAACTGGCTTCATTCATGCAGTTACACCCAGATGAGCCCCCTTTTAAGTAGCAGTGATTCATTTATAAGGGGCAACTTGGTCTTTGTGATGTCTGATGGTGTCACCATGTCTTATGCAGTCAGAAGCCCAAACAAGGGGCCATCACTGTGCCAACTTCTTGGATGCCAGGGTCTACTTGGCATGGTAAAGGGAGTAGCTCCCTCTGTCTCTGGAGGACTGGCGGCAAGAGAAATGGTGCAGCTGGAAATCTCAGGGAGCTAATTATTACTATTATTTAACACTGACTTAGCATCCACAGCGTGTTAGGTGCTTTGAAACTGATGTACAAAGAATTGGCCTTTTGTTTCAAAAAATCTGCCTTGGAGTCCCTATTTAAATGATAAGGACAATGAAAAACAACCCCCCCACCCCCTGCTCATTCTATGGTAAGTGACTCTTCAGCGGCAGGATAGCTAGAGTTCTGAATTAATGTTATCACAGAACAGTTGGAGAGGTTTATTTTGTTCCTATCAATGTGGATTATAGAGATTAATATATCAAGGAGCTTAGGCAAGCCTAGCTCTGAGACTCCCCTTGGATCCAGACAGGGATCCCACAGGGACCTCTCTGCTTTTCATATTGGATTTTGGTTCAGAACGTTAAAGAAGACACTCTTTTCACACTTGTAGAGATCAGGAAATTTTATTTAGATAGAACGGGGATGCTCACATGTAAGTACCCAATAATACCCAGTATATTATCCACATAAATATCAGATCTCCTGCCCTCAATTTGATTCAAATCAGGACACATTTATTATTACATACCTACTTATGTGCTAAGAATAGGCTGCAAAGATTTTTTTAAAAAAAATTTCACTAAGAGAGGTCATGAATGAAATAAAGGTGCACAAACCAGGTTAGCTTGTCTCTTAATCCCTCAGCCCAGACTCTCCACCCTCATCAATTCCTTAGCTAAGGCCCTCTGGCTAGCTTAGCTTCTGACACAGAGGAAAGCTGCTTGGTCCCTCTACCACTCTGGGATTTTATGACCACATTTCTTTGGCTCCACTTATGTGTAGTAAAAAAATTGGGAAGGCACCGAGGATGGGAAAAGCAGGATAGCCATACTGGTATAGATCAGGTCAGGAAAGACTAGATGATGAACCCCAATGAAGGAAAGTCAAGGCTGGTGTCAAAATAGGAGAGTGAGTTTCCTGTGCCTGGAATGTCTTCCATCCCTCCCTTTTTTTACCTATCGATACAAAGATGAATATGCCATGACCTCTGTCCTTAATGACAACATATCATATAGAAAGAATGCCGTGCACATTTTACTAGAGTGCTTTTGTAATAATAATAGGTAGTATTTATATAGCACTTTAAGATTTACAAAGTGCTTTACAAATATTTCATTTTATCCCCACAATAACCCTTGGTGGTATTATCATCCCCATTTTACAGATGAGGAAACTGAGGCAGTTAAAGGTTACGTGACTTGCTCAGGGAGACAGAGCTAGTAAATGTATAAGGTCAGATTTGAACTCATGTCTTCCTGAGTCAAAGTCCAGTACTCTATCCACAGTACTAACCTAGATGCCTCTTGTGTTTTGGTTTTTTGCTTTTTTTTCTTTTTTTGGTTAGGCAATGGGGTTAAGTGATTTGCCCAGAGTCACACAGCTAGTAAGTGTTATGTGTCTGAGGCTGGATTTGAACTCAGGTCTTTCTGAATCCAGGACCAGTGCCCTATCCACTGCACCACCTAGCTGCCCGCAAAAGGAGTATATTATTTTTGTTTGGTTGGTTTTTTAGGCAGTTGGGGTGACCTGACTTGCCCAGGGTCACACGGCTAAGTAAGCATCAAGTGTTTGGTCTGAGGTCAGATTTGAACTCAGGTCCTCCCGACTTCAGGGCCAGTGCTCTACCCTAGCTGCCTCTTGTGATACCTTATCATAGTGTGGAAGTGACCCCAGGGTCCTTGAAGCTTGGGGTGGGTGAGGGCAGCTTCGGTTACTATACTGTAATCCACTAACTGCTATCCAAGAACCGAACCATCTAAACATTCGTCGCCAGGCTAGCTATAGAAGGATGAATTTGGGGGGCACCGCAACTTTAGAATACCTGTCTATGAAACTGGAGAGGGGCTGTGGTCTGAGCTGATGGAAGGAGTACCAACGTTGGTGAAATGATCGGTTCCTGGAACACTGAAATCATTGCACGCATACACACAAACATGTGTTTCAGCACACATGGGGTGGGGAATCTTTGTCCTAGAGGCCACACGTGGCCTTCTAGGTCCTCGGGTGCAGCTTTTTGACTGAATCCAAGTTTTACAGAACAAATCCCGTAAGGATCCCATAAAGGAGGCCACATGTGGCCTCCAGGACAAAGGCTTCCCACCCGTGGACTGTTTGTTGTGTTTTATGTCATTTTTGTGTCCTCGGAGCCTGGCCCAGGGCTTTGCACACAACGCACCCTCAACAAATATTTGCTTTATTGAGTCAACCAAATAAATCTATTTAGAGAGATAAGAGCTCAACTTTGGACTTCGTTTAGACTCAGAGGAACTGATGACTGAAAGTCTTATTTACCACCCACCCCTTCCATCCTTCCCAACTGTGATAGCCTAGCAGTTGTTCTCAGGCTGCCTCAATCATTTCAGGAGCTGGAATTTCCTATAGTGGTCAGTTTTCCACCTTTGAGGCTGCAGAAGGCACCAGCAACTTGGAAAGAGCAAATGTGGTCAAGGAAGGCTTTGTGGAGGAGATAGGACAGAGCTGAACCTTGAAGGAGGGAGGATACAAAATCTAATCTAATGTAAAGATAAAGAGGGATTACATTCCAGGCATGGGAGACAGAATTCGGGAAGTTTCAGAATGCTGGATTTCCCTTAACTTTGCTGCTGCTGCAGCACCCAGGTAAACAAGGGGTATGTACCTATAAAATGTAAGGCCCCTTCCTGCCCACATCCATCCTGCTGAGGAACAATTTCAGAACCATAGGAAGGTTCCAGGGAGATCCGGTCAAAAGTTCCTGCCTTTTGTAGAAGGCCTGGGAAAACCTGAGATCCACAGGCTAGTTGGGTAGCTGGAACGCGCAGTCCTAGCGATCCTCTGTTGCGTAGCTCTCTTCGGGAGTGTTGCCAGCAAGAGTCATGACCTTCCTGGTGTATGGGTGTGGTGCACCTTGGGTGTACCCTAACACCTGCATCCCAGTGAAATCAAACTGAAATGAATGGCAACCTGAGTTCAAATCCGGCCTCAGACACATGATACTCACTAGCTGTGTGACTCTGGGCAAGTCACTTAACCCCGACTGCCTCACCAAAAAAAAAAAAAAAAAAGAAAGAAATATATGTCAAGGATGACCTCGAAAAGGAAGGGGAGGAGGCCTCACATAAGGGGGCATGCAGAGGTATGTGCGAAGAAGGAAAAGCAGCTTGCCAGCAGCTGGTCCAGTCCGCAGGGATTTGCCATGAGACCCTGGTTTCCACCTCTGAAGTGCTGAAGGATGTTTCCAGAACTAGAGCTGGCTTGGGGCAGCTAGGTGACACAGTGGGGGCAGCTACATGTACTAGCTGTGTGACCCTGGGCAAGTCACTTGACCCTAAATGCCTAAAAAGTAAAAACAAAAAAACAACAACAGAAGTAGCACTGGCTTTCAGGAGATCTGGAATATACTTCTTTGCTCTTCCCTCCCCTTCTTCCTTGCCCTCATTTCACATCAAGCTCCATAGTTTTCCTGAAGGACCTTGCTCTCTGACATGATCTTTACTCAAAGGAAAATCTCAGTAATTCTGCCCTAGAGGACATTCTCAAAAAAGTACTGAGAGGGAGAAAGGGCATCCATTGGAACATTCACAGTATTGTAGAACTGGAGAGCTGGAATTGATGACCTCAGAGGACATCCAGACCTAACCCTTACACAAAAGGAATTTCCACAATAACATGCCCAATGTGGTTCTCCAGCTTCTGCCTGAAGACCTTCAAGGAGGGGAAACCTAGCACCTGTCTAGCCAGCCATTCCACTTTAGGGCAGCTTTAAGTGTTAGGAAAATTTTCCTGAATGCAAGCCTACATTTGCCTCTTGGCAACTTCCCAGGTAGGGCAGGCATTATTATCCCATTTACAGATGAGAAAACTGAGGCTCAGAGAGGGTCTTCTGACCAGAGTGACTGGACTAGGGATAGTTGTGATCAAACTAAAACCAAGTTCTCCCACACTGAATCTTACACCAGCACAATGTGAGGCACATGGTAAATACTTGATAGATTCTGTCTGTATCTATCCATCCATCTATCTATATCTATCTATCTATCCATCCATCCATCCATCCATCTCTATTCATCTATTTCTAGTATCTGTCTCTCTTATTCCATCCCACTTTGCATTGTACATAATCAATGTACATAATATCCTTTCTTGCTCCCATTTTAATCCAAGGCGTGAGAGAATCTCTCAGTCTTTCCAGTGGGTGCTATGAAGCATGCTACAACTGAGTGACTGGCACCAGAGGTGGCAGAGCCCATAGTTCTGGGCTCTAAGTACGGGCTGGCGTCAGGGAGGGAGGCAGCACTCCTAACAGATTTTGTGCTCCCATCTCCTGCTCCAATTCCGCCAGGCACCTGCCCTCTGCCTCCTCATCCTCCTTTTCTCTCAGCAACCTCTGCCAGGGCAGCCTGAGGCATGGGCCCAAACAGATCACCGGGGCAGCCATACTCTTCTACCTGTCCTCCGCGATCCGCTGCCAGCCAAGAGTAGTCTGGACCGTCCGAGCTGGCCACAGAACTGCACTCTATGTGCAAAAACAAAGAAACTAGGGTGAGAGGGGATAGGGAGGAGAGGAGATGAGGACTGTAAGAAGAAGCCAGAGGGGAATGAGCCCAGCTAGGAGGTGGGAGCTCTGAAGGTAGCCCTGGGAAAACTACAAAGGTGGGTGGGAGCTGCAGAATGGATGAGAAGCATCCCACAGTCGTAGGGCCTGAGGGGCCCGCTGCAGAGAGCCAGCCTGTCTGTGCGGCTTGGGCACACATCAGCTCTATAGCCGG